TGGTCTGAGAGCTGCGAAACCAAGTTTATCTCCGTACGTCCAAAATATTTATCGGATCGAGGTAAAATATGTATTTTTAGAAGTAGTTCACCAAGGGCTTTCTTGAGAATTTTTTTCAGATTTTTCGTTTTTTCGCTATTGCACGGCCCCAGTTGAAAATTACTGACCGTGACTCTTAAAAAGTCTTTCATGTACATGTATTTCTCAGCTGTTCAGAGTTGTACAATTAAACTTGAGCTTACATTCAAAGAGCTTTCCTGTCTAAAGTTTTGTCTGTCTTAACTTACTTATGAAACACTACATTTACTTAATGATTTTCCTGTAATATCTCTGCTGCATAGCGATCAGTTTCCATATAAGCACTTGATGACTGGCCTCAAGGGAAACAGTGAGGGTCCAGTGACCCTCAAGAATGGTTGGAACACATTACCCCCGCCCTACCCCCTCNCCCCCCCTACCTGTCAAGATTTCTCCTGGGAATATTCACTGTGGCAAGAAAGGCAAGGGGTACCCCTTACCTTTTCTCGGTAACCCCTTACCCCCACCGGTGGGGGTGTTACTATCATCAGTACTGGGGCCTTACTGTAGACAGCTAACCAGAGTGCCAGTTAGGTTCACCCTCATCCCTCACCCCTCGTTTTTGACCTGCCCCTTTTGACTTCTTTTAATGAGATATAATGCTAACAATTATTGTTAAAATTGTATCTTTTCCATGCATGCTATACCTTGCAACTCCTCCATAGCACAAGGGTACTTGTACAGAGTGACACCCTTTTCTCGGGATCATCCTCGTAGAAAAGTGGATTGTATCTTGCAAAACTGAACACACCCACACCAATTGAGGAGTTAGCTTGCCCAAACACAAAATTCCAACTCTCTTTGGGGTAGAGATCAATCATTGTGATTCCGACAACGCAAAAAGCACCAGGAGGCCATTTAGCTTGTAAGTATTTATAGACATCTGGAATGTATAACTGAAGTGTTCCACCGTTCATTCGCGTTTTACACTTGAGTTTCCCTATAGACACCGGCGGGAGGACATCAACTTGAAAACCCGTAAAGAAGACAGCTGCGAAATGCTGAAGCAACGACAAGAAACTCTCTTTCTTCCCGTTTTTATCTATTTCCACTTCAGACTGCGTCCACTCACCGCCTAGAGGTACAAGACCTATCTTTTTCTTGTCTTTTCGTGATGGCGGAATGGCAGTTTGTAGTCTTTGCCACCAAGAATTGTGCGACTGTTTTGTCTCCGAATGCGATGACAGCCAGTCGTGTTTATCTGGCTCTAGAAGTGCAGGAAAAAGTTTTCTATCTTTCAGACCATTCACAAAGAAGGTTTTCTCTTTTTTGGAAAGGTCTTGTAAGTTGCCAAGATCCTGAACTGTTGTTGATGATGCGGTGGCCATGTTGGATTGCCATTGCAGAGTCTGAGAAGTCTGAGAACGACTAAATATAGGATATTCACGCAAAGCAATTTGGCGTCACGTAACAGTTGTCACGCACGCAAACCAATGCAAATATCAACTTTGCTGTATGCGCTAAAATTGGTGACTATTTTTTCTTCTTCTTCTTTTCTTTTTCTTTTTTCTTTTTTCTTTTTTTTTTTTTTCAATAATCTTGATTTTGACAAATGCACCCAGTTTGTACAGGAAAGTAACTTGCTTTATTTCTAGCCTACGTTTATACGTCGCAGGCGCAACCCAGTCGACAGTCGGTCAATATCTGGTTGGCTTTGTTCAATGAAATTCAAAGTACTATCCTTTTGAAAGTTAAAGATATGCAACACTGAGTAATTCTGACAGTGTACTAATTTTAACTACAGAATGTGAATGCATGTTTGTAATAAAAGTTCATAATAATATGCTCTAAAATGTGTGAATTTAAGCGACCATTGCTTGAATGCACCCTAATTTCCTATTTCTCCAACGAGTGTTTACATCAATTGGATTTCCGCATTCACCAGCCTGCGAAGCAGACGTATTTCCAGCTGTCACTTGGCCTCCAACGCTGACTCTGTTTGGGCTTCCTCCCCCACGAAGGCTGGTTATAACTAATGCATAAGCACAAAATAAAGCATTTAGATTTTGGCAATTAGAAAATTTTCGAAGAAAAGTTGCCCAATACTTATATATCAACATCTTTCTGTGTCTGTGTGTGTTGCCAGAAGCATATAAACAAGGGTCTGGAAGGTTATTCTCGAGATCCGAGATTTGACCAAAATACGGTGCAGGAATCGGGAAAGCGGTAAATATCTTGACCGGAGCCGGGATTTGACTTCTTCCCGGGAAGCGGGACTCGCCAAAAAGTGGGCATGGGTTGCGGGATTTTTTTTCGCCTCTCAGTCGGGAATTCGGGAAATCGTCACGACCCAAATAAACGTTCTAGCGGCCAAAGAGAATCAATCAGGCGAGCGCTAAGTGGTGTCTCCTTTCAAACCAAACTATAGAGTGATCGATACAAATCGCCTTATGATCATGAGTGTAACGCATACGACCTGGGAAATGTCACAATTAAGTAGGGATCTGGTTTTGGTTCAAAAAGCAGTTTAATTTAATTTTCGTTTTAACAAGAAAGTTAGCGATTAGCGTCCTGGTTTCAAGCTTGCCAGAGCTTCTTCTAACACATAATTAAAATATGTCTGGAATGTTTATTGTGTTCACGGTTTTATAAGTTTGACAGTTATTGCTCAACTCAAGCACTTTGTTTTTTTTCCCTTTTAGCTTCGGGCAATAAATAGAAGGCTCTTTATTATCCACTTAAGTTATTCAAATTCCTAAGCAAAGAGAGCATATTTGAGGTGAGGGCATGAAAGGGAAACTCACTGTACTTCATGTTCAAGCAAGTCGGTTAGCCAGTTTCGCGTACGTTCGCTCTCCGTCCACGTAGTCAAAATGGCATCAAGGGTTCCCAGTGTAAACATTGAAAATGTCAATGCCTCACTTGTTAAAATCAAGACGATCGTCACAAACTATGCCACTTATCGCAACACCACAATTCCGCGAGATGTCGCAGAGAACGTGAAAAGTATCCGCACCTGGGTCGACGAACAGAGGGTGTCTTCTAGAGAGGCAGACCGAAACAAAGCTATATCAGATGTTGGAAATGTCCTTCAAGTATCGATCAGTTCCTTGCAAGCCTTAAGCAGCGGCGAGCCTGTAGAAGTAATGAAAGGATGTTTGAACATTGCAGGGACCATTGCGACTGTAGTAGGAGGGCCGTACGGTGCGGTTGCAGGTGCATTATGTGGTATTCTCGGAACGGTTTTGTCACTCAGCGCTCCTAGTCAGCCGGATTTGGCCACGGTTTTCATCGAGAAGGTCCACGTAGAGCTTCAGAAATTCAATCAGAAGCTACAAAGCCAGAAGTTCCATGGTCTGGCCGTCCGTGTGAAAAACATGAATTCCAGCTTGAAGATCCTACAGAGTGGGTCAATAGACGTGGCAGATAAAGCCCTGTTTGAAACTGACTTTCCTCAGTTCATCGGTGAAGTGTCCGAAAACTTCGAGAGAGGCCTAAACAATGAAAGCAAAGAGGAAGATATAGATGATTGCCTGAGGTCAATGGTTGTATATTGCAATGCGCAGACGTCGCTGCTTGTCTTACTTGCAAACATCCTGGCAACTTTCCAAGCCACTGGCCGCCAGACGATGTTCATCCAAAACTTGCTGAGTGTCCAAAAACAAGACGCCATTCAAAAGCTTGGATTCCTGTCTGACGAGAAGTACATGAGTCCTTCAGGCGCTCTTCCGCCTGAGGGAGGCAAAATTTGGATGATCCTTCACCTAAGAAGAAACCTCCCATTTTATGAGGTAGTCGAGGAATTCAGAGAAAGCTTAGGAATGACTAAGATGCCAGAACTTGACACTATCAGAGAAAAGGTGTTCTTAGCTGCTTTTTCTGGGCCTAAACGGGTATTACACTTGTACCCACAACCACAAACGAGAGGGGACAACCATTACTTCCAGTTAATCAATCACACAGATGTTCCAATCAAGGTGGTGTGCGATGGGATTGCGGGAGACCACGTCAACGGTTTGAAGTTTCGTCAAGACGTACAGCCACGCTCGTCTTACGAACACATTGCTACCAAGTCAACTTGGACTTTTTCCACTGGCGGGTTCTTTGTGATCTATTTGGATGGCAAGATGAGGTCCTTTGAGAATATGTTCGAGGGTCGAAACCTGAAAGTCTTCGAGTTCGCGCTGTCCAACCCTTTTATTGGTTTCATGAAGTCAGCCCTGCTGGAAAAAACCCACAACTTGCTGTCGGTGACTGGTCAAGATTGCTGGAAGCAGATGAATTCAAACGCCAGTCCTCCGATCTACTTTGTTCACAACAAAAAATATTTTGTTGTATTTGGAGGCTACACTCCCGTCTGTGATTTCGGTTACATTCCTGCGGGCAAGAAAGGGTGTCGCACATGGCGGTTTGTAGTTCAGGAGTACGATCCACTAGAAGTTGAACAAGGGGATTGTACAATTTTGTAAAGAAATGCGTGCGTGTTTATTTTTGACTTTACCTTACTGACAGGACCAACACTCTTAACATTAGGCGCTCTGATTACGTGCGTGAAGTTTATTCAGAGCTAAACAGTGTGTATCATTGACTAAGACTGAAAACGTGTTGCAGTATCGTAGTCTCAGTAGACTGTTCACAACCCTCTATTTTCTGGTATTTTTATTCGATCGTTGAACGCGAGGATAGAATCGCGAGAGAACTGGACGCCAGCGCAAAACGGGGGACAAAATAAAGAGGCTGTACGTGAACAGTCTATAGTCTCAGAGCCTCACAGTGTTTACGTAATCCAAAACAGTAGAAGACTCAGTGCAGATTCCGTGTTGTCCATTTCATGTACTGGGTAGTTTAATTAAACAAGGCTACAGCACTACATTGGCATTTGGCGTGCAACAATTTTAATGTATTCTTGGCTTTAGTTTCATTAAGCAAAACCTTTTATTGCATGCTTGTGTAACCGACAGTCGGTCAATATCTGGTTCGCTTTGTTTACTTAAGTTCAAAGTACTATTCTTTTGAAAGTTAGATATGCAAAACTGAGTAATTAACAGTGTACTAATTTTAACTACAAAATTAACGTGAATGTATATATGTTTGTAATATGTAGATTTAGG